AAAAATGTTCATTGGACACATGCACATCAAATTATTAGATATTTTGTAGAGATTTTATTAATGTGTATACATTTTGTATCAATTCTTTGGGTTCCGTATCAAGTTTTTTAATTTTAAAATTCAAGTGTATGTTCAAACAAATGTCCTCGACATTTTCGACAGTATAGAATAACCGATTTGTATGATTGAAAAAACATTGGGTTCGTACTCGATCGCGAGGCGTTTTTGCAAAAGGCAATTTTGCCATTTCGGAGGTATGGAGCGCGAAGGATGTAAAAATGGTTATGCAGGTTTTGAGAGGACGGATCATCCGATTAAATTAATCCAAAAAACATTTTGCTTGAGTATTTGCCAGATTACCTGTCAACCTATTTACCAGTCCACAAATTTACTTGTCCACCAATTTACCAGTCCATCAAACATACCAGTCAAGGGGGCGTCCATTAATCACGTGATCGATTTTTTAAGAATTTTTGGATTCCCCCCCCCCTCTTGGTGATTCGTGGTGAGATTCAAAATGACGCCCCATTTTTAGTTACGAGAATAGTTCAAAAAAAAAAATTAAGAATTTTCAAAAAAATTCAAAGTTTAATAAATTTAAAAAAAACTATATTTTAAAAATATTCAAAAAATATCAAAATTAAAAAAAACGATTTTGTACAAAATTACGAGAATATTTCGAATTTAAAAAAAAAAAAATCCAAAAAATTTCAAACTTCTAAAAAATTTAAAATTGTTTAAAAAATTTGTAAATTATCAAAAAAATTAAACTAAAAGAACAAATTTCTTATAAAAATACACATAAGTTGTTTGTACAATACGCTCGTCGCCTAATTTAAAAAGTACTAAGTTTACGGTAGGTATTTATAATAAATAATCTATTTGAAATTATCCAAATCAAAAATTTCCAAATTCTCAAAAATTAAAAAAAAAATCCAAAAAATTTCAAACTTCTAAAAAATTTAATTTTTTTTAAAAATTTGTAAATTACCAAAAAAATTAAACTAAAAGAACAAATTTCTTATAAAAATACACATAGGTTGTTTGTACAATACGCTCGTCGCCTAATTTTCAAAGTACTAAGTTTGCGGTAGGGATTTATAGTAATAATCTATTTGAAATTATTCAAAACAGTTATTGATGATTTTCATTTCTCGAATGTTTTTTTACATTATAGATATTTTAATAATAAGAACAAATTTGTTTACTTTTCTTTGGGTTCGTACCAATGTTTATCAGTTTAGACGCCACACGGCTCCTACGTCCTCAGAAATTTTAAATTCTCAAAAATCTGTTTTTTCTGTTTTAAACTCTAATTTTTACTACGGAAGTTCCAGCAATTTGCTTTAAGGCCCGATGCTATGCACCACTAGTACATATTAAAATTGAATTTAAATGTTGCAGTGTCAGCAGGCGCAATTATTATTATTATTTATTATATTTATATTAATAGCTCAAAATGTATATTATGAGAATATATTATTGCAATATTTAATTGTATAATGTTTGCATTATATATATATATATATATATATATATATATAATTATATATATATGGTATATAACGGTTTAATAAAAACGTACTAGAATAACATTCTAAAGCAAATGTATTTGCATTTATAAAAGTACTAAGAATCCGCTATGAAGCCATAAGGATTTGCAATGCACAAATTTTATATCTATATATACATGTATCTACATGCATGTGAAACTCCGTTAAAACGATTTTCCAGGAACCTTAACAACAACAATGTATTATGCGAGATAGAGTTTGGCTTTTTATTAAACAATGATTTAAATTTGTGTGTTCCTGGTTTCGTATGTATTGATATTTTTCTAGAATATAATTTATCTTCTAAAAATTTTGTAATTTATAAACGTGTTGAATGATATACATACAGTATCGAAAGGTACATAATAAATAAATAATTATTTATTGCTTTTATTTCAAATATTTGGCTACAAATAAACATTTCAGTAATTTATATTAATATATTTATTTTCTGCACAAAAATCGTTGAAGTATGCTTACAATTCTACAATAAGTTATGTTAATTAATTAATTAAAAGTCGATTTTTTGGCAGCCATTTAAAATTTTTTGACAGCCATTTTAAAATCAAGCAACCATTCGAATGAATTTATTTTCCATTATTAACCGGAAGGTGACTTTCAAATAAAGAGAAAATGAGAAAATATTAAGTAGTTTTTCAAGTATTTTCCAAAAAAAGTTTGTTTAGCTAGGTTTTTTAAAGCTTTTACAAAACTATAGTTTTGAAAGTAGTTTTTTTATATCATTTTTAAAAGAAGCCATCTAACATTTCCTTCGGAGGCCATTTTAAATTTGTAGGCAGCCATTTGAATGAAATAATCTTTCATTATTAACCGGAAGGATTGTTCTTTCAAATAAAATAATGAGAATGTATTAAGTAGTTTTTTTTAAATTATTTTCTAAAATAAGTTAGTTTAGTTAGTTTTCTTTAAATTTAAAAAAAAGTTAGTATTAAAGTTAATTTTTTATAGCATTTTTAAAAAAGACTACGACTTTTTTGGCAGCCATTTTATAGTTTGAAAGCCTGGAAGGATTATGTACTTACAAATAAAAAAAACAAGAAATTTGAGAAAATATTCAGTAGTTTTTTAACATTTTCGAAAAAAAAGTTTGTTGGTGGATTCAGCTTTATAGAAAATACTGTAAAATCATTTTAATTTTATGAAGTTTTCATTGAAAAATACCTTTTCTTGTGTATACACACATAAAAACACTTATGAACCACCAAAATATATAAATAAGTAAATATGTATATATAAAATATTAAATTATTTTTTTTTTTAATTGTTTTTGTTTTTGAATTAATTTTTTATGAAAGTTGTTTAATATCGTTAGAATTCAAATAAAATATCGCGCCATATAGTGTAATATGCTTTTATATCAAATTGGTAAAATATTATAAAATATTGTATTATTAACGTTATTAATGGAATATTTGATTATATAAAAAAGTGGTGCATGGCATCGTGCCTTTAGGCAAACTGCTGGAACTGCCGTATCATAATAAAATATTCGAAAAATTTTAAATGTTTTGTAAAAGAAAGGTTTTTTGTTATTTTTTTTGAAATTTTGTCTTCCCCAAAAACTATTATTTTTTCTTCACACTACCAATACAAGTAAAATGTTGTTTTGAATTAGATGATTCGTTCTCTTAATAACTGCTATTTTTTGTACTTTTTGATCCGCATTTTCTAAACGCCTGGAAGTGCTTTAGCAAAGAACTAATCAGTACGTCTTTCGAATATTTTTTTATTTGATTTGATTTTTCAATCAATACGAACTGAATATTTATTTAATCATTGTGATCGGATGCCCGATTCTCGCAAAAACTGAATTTCCATTTTTTTTCACTTTTTGCTTTATATCTCCGAAACAGCTGGACCTGCCTTTGCCAAAAACTAATCAGCACGTATCTCTATCAATGTTCATTTAAATTATTCAAATCGGTTGGTCCGTGCGCCCGAAAACGTATCCACACAAAACACACACACACACACACATATCCATGTTTTCTAAGGTATGCCAAAATATTTAGAAAGCTTGAAACGTGAAAATTTGCAAAAATTTTCATTTCGATTTTTGGACGATTATAATAACTTACCCTAGTTTTTATAAACAAAATAACTCTTTTCATGTCATGTAGCGACTTGACAGTTAAACAATATCTATGGCTCATCATGTTGGCAGCACTGGTCAACGACACAAACTTCAAGAAGCTTCAAAAATTCGAAATTCTCTCTTCTGTCTGATTTCGCATATTTTTATTTTCATTACTTTCATATTAATATTATGCATTTTTATAAGCATTAAATATAATTACAAGTCATTGCTGTTTATTAACTTCCCGTAGGACAAGTTATAGTAATCGCAAAAAAATCGAAAATGAAAATTTTTATAGATCTTTACGTTTCAAAACCTTCTGAAAATTTTGGCATACCTTAGAAAAAATGTATGTATGTGTGTGTGTGTGTGTGCGTGTATGAATGTATGTTCGGATACAAATTTTCGTCGACGATTTCGGGAACATGGATCAACCGATTTGAATAATTAAAAAAACATTCGATTCGTATTGATAAGGAGACGTGCTGATTAGTCTTTGGCAAAGGTAGGTCTAGCCGTTCCGAAGATACGGGGCAGTTTTTAAGAGAACGGAGCGGCCGATTTGAATAATTCAAAAACCATTTTATTAGTATTGACTAAGTGAAGGACTGTTCAAATTTTTGGAAGGGCAGGTCCAACGACTTTGGAGATATGGAGGTAAAAGTAAAGAAAATGAGCCATTTGGCGGTCAAAAATGAAAAAATTAGACATATGCCCATCAAATTATCAGATATTTTATAGAGATTTTAACAATAAGTATAAATTTTGTTTACATTCCTATGGGTTCCTACCAATGTTTACGCGTTAGACGGCGACGCGGCGCTTATGCTGTTAAAGCAGTACGATTGCTTCGAAAAAAAGTTCAGAATTTCCAAAATATTTCAAAATAAATGATTTGAGATAGAATGAATTAATATGGTTCGAAATTTTATTAAAAGTTTCAAACATTGATCAACTTTATTGATTATTATTATTCATTATTTTATCTTTATTTATTTATATATTTATTTATAAAATATATTTTATCTACACCCATGAAGTTAGTCATAAGTTAATAGTCAGAATAATGTGGGCGCCATCTTGCCTCTTCTTCTTGTACAAGAGTTTGACATTTTGTTTCTTTTTGTAGAAAAATAATGTAATATTAGTATAAGAAACAAAATATAAGTATAACTGTAATATAATAATTCTATTTAACATTGTTTTACAAATTTTTATACAAAATTATATTTATTTTCAAAAACGACATCAACCCAACAATGGCGCCATCTTTCCTCTTCCTCTCGTACTAGAGTTTGACATTTAACGAACAATTCTTACAGTTACTTTCACAATTGTTTTTTGTCATATTTAATCAGTTCTCCGTAGAAAACTCAAGAAAAAACAAGTTTTAATTATATATTAACACTTTACAATTTGCAGTATCGAACAATGGCAGAGGATGATATCATTTATAAATGGAACGAAGTTATGGAAGGCTTCAAACTCAATGAGAACTTCTTTAAAGATAGCAATGCTACTAAAATTGTCAAAGCTTTGGAAGAATTGTGTATTTATTGTAAATTTGACATCAATGCAATGAAGCAGGTAACTTGGAAATATATTAAAGGTGTTAGTTTTTTCAGAAATTAATTTGTTGGGGACTTACTGTGGTTTATCGTTATAGTGAAATTTACTTCAAGTATTGAAGGGACTTTGAGCATTAAACGGTAGTTTCAAAACCATTGAATGATTTATTTAAAAATTATATCATGCAATTTATTGCCTAAAATTTTGATAATAAAGTAACCTTATGTATACTTATAGAAATGTCATTGTCCAATTTACTAGCTCTTATATTTTGCCTATGAAATACAAATAATGAAAGTTGCAATATTTATTAATAATCTATATGAAATCATTAATATAACTGAAATTTTTACATACAGATAACCGCAGTATAACACCGTAGTTAGGACAAAAAACTAGTACAAAAAGAGGAGTTACGTTCCAAGAATTAAAAAAAAAACATGCTACATATTATGCTTTTATAATAAATATTGTTACATTTGTTAAGATATATTACATGAATTTTATGATTTTTCAAGTGCTATCCAATGCGATAATTTTCTTTGCAAAATATCATCATCGTCTGTGCAGTTTCCTGTTCTACCTTCAAATGCTTGCATTATTTTTTGCAAAAGAATTATAAGTGCGATTACTTGCTTTTAGCAAAATGATATTTATATATTTAACACATACAAAGTTATCTTTATCAAACTTTTATGCTCATTTTATTTAAAGAATCTTTATAATAGAATATCCTCATTCTCTGAGCAATTTTCTTTACTACCTCCAGATCTGTGCATTATTTTTTGCAAAAAAATTATATTTGCGATTACTTGCTTTTATCAAAATGATATTTATATGTTTAACACATGCAAAGTTATTTTTATTAAACTTCTATGCTCATTTTATTTGAAGAATAATAAAAATCTCTTTATAATAGAATATCCTCACTAAAACGATTTCAATTTTAATTCTGGTTAAAGTTTTAAAGCTCACTTATATACTTTAAATGAATATTTTTGACTTTGTGATTCAGTTCATATAATTCTTATAAATATTAGACAATGTTACAGTCTTTATAATATTTCTATTTATATTATTTCTATTTCTATTATAGTTACAGTACGGGAGTTCCAGCAATTTGCCTTAAGGCATGATGCCATACACCACTAGTTTTATTTGTGTTTTGCTCAATTTTTAAAACTCTTTACAGCAAACGCGTGCTTTAAAAGTATCGTGCTCAATTCTTAAACTCTGTTATGCATGGGTTACCTGTATTAACATTTATGTGTTTTTTTTTTTAAGTAAAACTTCTTTAGGCGCGACTACGGAGTAAATCTGTACAAATGCAACGGAAATAGCGTTACGCCCGAACAGTTCGTCATTCGCTCTGGATGAAATCATTTCTATACTGTTCGATTGTGATTAGTCGTCGTGTCGTGTGAATGGAGATCTGTCATTGTATGCGTATTTTCATCAACGTTGTTTGCGTACCGATATCAACAAGGAAATCGGCATAGATAAATAAACATTTTTAAGTTTTAAGTTACATCGTTGTACAAATCACGATTTAATGAAAAATGCCTGAATCAGAAGAATATTTTACCCTGTTTCTTGAAAATAATAAAACAAATGAAACATTTGTGCCGTGTTCTAAACAAAGCTTATTGATAAGAAATTATTTCTATATTATTCGTAGTTTCTACAAATCTTTGAAGTTATTGAAATGGAAAATACTTTTATAGGCAAGACAGATAAACAGCTGCTTAAAGAATGAGATTATATCGCCAGCGAAACAGTAAAAAAAATACAAGCAGTCAATGAATGTATGTTAATTTTAATTACATGAAGTTCTTCAAACACAATTATTACATGATGAGTGAAGTTGCAAAAACAATATTTGTTTAGGCGTTGTTTAACATAATCCACTGTGTTAACAAGTATTATAGAATTTATTAATCAGCAATCACTTCATTTCTCTAATGAAGGTTTGTTTCTAAATGCTAATTACAATGACAAACCGATCATGTCATATTTGAAGTATGACTTTAATTATATTATTGTTTTTAAATATTATACATATTTATATAAATGTGTATAATGGTTGACACTAATAAATGTGTGCATCACGAGTTACCGCATTACTAATAAACATTATTCAAAATTGTTATATGATGTATTTATTTTTACTTAAATGTCATCTTGTACAGTAGCGAATAAGTTTTACTTCAATCGCGTGTGAACCTTACGCGCACTCTTTTTTTTATCCGACAAGATTTGTTTAAGATATATATTTGTTTATTATTATGTTCTTTTTTCAGTGCTCACAGTTTGTTATCGCTCAAAAGTTCAGCGAAATGGGTTTGGCTTCCCCTGAAGAACTCGAGCCCATATTCAATATTCTAAAATTCATCTTTAGAACCTACGCCATTATAACAACAGGGAGAAAGACTCTTTGTCTTTATGATGTTTATTTAATTGGTACTTATTTATAAAATAATAATAATTGTGATTAATAAAAATATAAGTAAGAATCTATGTACATTTTTCAGGTCCTAAAAGATTAAATAGAATATTTCAAGAGCTTTTCAACTTTTTCCTATTCTGCAATATCCAGCATAACAAAATAACTGCAGGAATTAGTAAAAGAGAAACCAGGGACAATGACTTGGTAAAAGAAATCGAAGATTTAGATGCGGAGATAGAAGCCTTTGAAAAAGAATTTAAAGCCATCGATAGTAAAATACAAAAGGTATACTTTATATTCAAACTTGAATTGCAAAAGTTATGTTTATTTATTTATTATATATTTTTAGTGTAAATCAACATATCCCCAAACTGAAGACGAGATTGATAATTATAAACAACAGACTCAAGATGTAATGGAAGATATTGCCGAATTGGAAGCAAAAATACAAGCTGAAGAAGAAGAGCTAAAACATTTGAAGCAAATTGGGATTCAAACACAATTCGAAATTGATGAATTGAAAGACCAGTTGGTCACTGATGGTGAAACGTTGACAAGGTGAGATTTATTCAATAACTAGTGGGGTGCATGACATTGTGCCTTAAGGCAACTTTCCTTACCGTAAACAAAAATTTTTTTAAGGAACTCAAAAAAAATTACACAAAATGTGTACACATGATTAAAATCTCTATAAAATATCTGATAATTTGATGCTACATTTTTGACCGCCAAATGACATTTTTTAAACTTTTTATTGAGTATCCATAACCGCTGGACCTGTCTTCCCAAAAATTTAATCAGTTCTTCATCTTGTCAATACAAGTAAAATGTGTTTTGAATTATTAAAATTGGACGCTCTCTTAAAAACAGAGTTCGGAACGGCTAGACCTGCCTTCGCCAAAAACTAATCAGCACGTCTCCTTATCAATACAAATCGAATGCTTATTGAATTTTTCAAAATGGATGATCCGTGTTCCCGAAATCATCCGAAAATTTGTATCCGCACACACACACATACATACACATACATCCATCCATTTTTTCTAAAGTATGCCAAAATATTCAAAAACCTTTGAAACGTAAAGATATATGAAAATTTTCATTCTCAATATTTTTGCGATTACTATAACTTACCCTATGGGAGGTTAATAATAGTTTATCACAAATCATAAAATTAATAAATTATATCATCTCATAGTGAAAACCAAGAGAATTTTAAATTGCTGCTTTTACTTTTTAAAAAAATGAAAATGAAATATTTTGCACAACTTTACGTTTCAAAGGTTTCTAAACATTTTGGCATACCTTAGAAAAAATGGATATATGTATGTGCGCATGCAATTTTTCGCCGATATTTACAGGATCAACTGATTTGAATGATTTAAAAAAAGCATTCCACTTGTATTGACGAAATGAATAATTGATTAAATTGTTCGAAAAGCATGTCTAGCGGTTTCGGAGATTAAAAAAGCTAAATACAATGCCATTTGGCAGTCAAAAATGAGCATTAGACATATGCACATCAAATTATTAATTATAGTGATTCTAATAAGAACAAATTTTGTTTACATTTTTATGGATTCTGTACCAAGGTTTAAAATGTTCATCCATTAAGGACTGCGATTCGGAGCCTACGCGCTTCTATAGTTCCACAGCGCGATAGCTTTGATAGTTTTTTAAAATCAAAACTTTTAAAAAACTGTAATATTTTTAAGACAATTCAACATTAACAAAAATGGTAAAAAGTCTTCTAAGATGCTGTTATTATAACATTCTTCCTTACATGTTTATATGTAAAATACACCTTGTCGCACAGTATTTGGTGCTTTTGCATCTTGTAGACATAACATGGCTCATGACCCGGGCGCTGAACGACGCCCGGGTCAAAATGCTGCATAGCCTATAGATGTTGATGTAACCGGAAGAGCTTCAGTGAGTTAATTATTGCATTTTTATAATTAGTTTAGTGAGTTTATTATTGCGTTTTTATAATCGAGTTTAAACAAAAAATGACAATTCGAAGCAACTTATCACAATGGTGTTATTGGACCTCAATAAGCCCCATCCACTAGGCGATCACACAACCATACAGTTTATGAGAAAATGTTTAATAAATGTCAAGTCGTAATATTTTCCGTTTATATTTTTTGAACATGTGATGTTAGGAATGCAATAAAATCGACTACTGATACAAAAAGACATTTTTAAGGTTCTCACTATCAATAAACAAGCATAACATAGCATTGCCATGACAACGCTATGTTATGAGCTCTGTTACTGCGGAATTGCCCCCATAAATCTTATCATTCATTATAGCACATTGGAGTTGCAAAAAGCAGAACTCGAAGAACTTGTCAAAGACAATGCGGCGCAGGAAGCTTCTATGAAAAAGAAAATAAATTTAATTTCTGAAAAAACTAAGTCAATTGGTCTTGCAAATAATTTGATGACAGAATTCAACAAGTGCATCAGTCTTGGTGAAAAATGGTTAGTATCAACTTCCTGTAAGTTATTGTAATCGTCCAAAAATCGAAATTGAAAATATTTGCATATGTTTATGTTTTAGAGGATTTTGAACGTTTTGGCGTACAGAACAACCAAACGATTCTAATTAACAGGAAAAGCAATTGATTTCTATTGATAAGGAGACATTTCTACCATTTTGCCTGATGTAATTTTGCGATAAAACTGACCATTTAGCAGAAAATTGCGAAATGGTCTTTTTTTTACTTTTGACCTTAGATGAGGACTTTTGAGAATTCCTTTATAATTATGTTTGAAACAATTTTACCAAGTTGTAGCCCATTATAAATTATTGTAACCTGCACCCTGATTTCAGGTTTAAATTGACCGGGCTAATTCTACTCTTGTTTAGTATTATTTCTTATAGAATTTCCTTATTTAAACTTCTGCCTCTATGCTCCTCAGTCCTGTGCTTCAGTTTTCAGTTTCCTGAATTTTCTGATATAGTTTTTCTTCATAGTCGTTTTATCTCTTCTATTATACTCTAGAAGGCGTTGTGCAGCAGACATTCTTTTTGCAATATAGGTTCAATCTCGTTTCCTTTCCTTTTTATTATCGTGCTCAGTAGAGTTCCTTTCTCTTCCATTCTCCTCAGTACTTAAAATTATTATATTTATATATACTTACAAATATTATAAGTACAAAACTTAAGTTATAACTTGTATTAATATATAATTATACTTCTATACTATACTTATAAAATATATACTTCTTCCCTGAATCGAGTTGGAGTTTAACTCAGCTCACGGACCTGCCCTAGAGCAGCTCTACCCATTATTATTATTATTATACATAATAAAGTACATAATTTTTGTTATATTATCTTTCCACATTTTCTTCTCTATTCATCTCCAGCACTACATTTTTAAACTTTCAGGATAGTTTGTCAGCTTTTTTAAGAGTCCATGTTTCTGATCCATACAGAGCATTGCTTTAAGGTGCGTCCACACCTAACGAACGAACATGAACGAACATAAATGAACGTACCAGAACGAACGGCAACAGCATAGTGTGGACGCCACGACGATCACGAACGAACATAAACAAACATGGCGAGCAATGTTCCGCAACTTGTCGGTACATCAAAGGAAATTGTTCGTTCATGTTTGAACTCGTATGTGCAGTGTGGACGTCTCAACGAACGCAAACGAACATTTTTGTTTTAATAATTTAATAATAATTTTTTAATAATAATTTTAATAATTTAATAATATTTACTTTTAATTATTGTGTACAGTTTGAAAATTTTGAATAAATTTTTGAATAAAAGGCTATTCATAAATGAAATAGAAAAGTTTCCTGTAATATGGGAGACTAAAGACCCTTTTTATAAAATTATTAGAAAAAAAACGATCCTTGGGAAAGTGTAGGCAAAACGTTTGGGATGTCAGAAGCTGCAGTAAAGAAGAAATTGCAGTCTTTACAAGTAAATTAAACTTGTATCATACATAGACATTCAACATATATGTTGAGGATGAGAGTTTGAAAATTGAGTATAGTTAGCTCAAGCCTGGAATTTCAGCTTGCTTCGAATATGAATGCTGAGGAAAGAAAACGACTCAAAATATAATATTAAATACAAAAACTGAGTGAAATTAATTGAATAATTTATTTACAGTACTTTACAAATATACACGAACAAAAATCACACAAAACCAGTGAAAATGCCGTATGATTAAAGCTTACATCCATATCAATAATAAAACTGACGTTTCACGAACATCTACGAACAACGAAAATTCAAGCGCTCACTGCTTTTAAGCGCTTGTTCAAGTTCGTTTGGAATTTTTCGCGTTTGTTCGTGTTCCCGTTCGTACTTCTTTGTATTTTCTTGTTCGACATGTTCGTTCGTGTTCGTTCGTTAGGTGTGGACGCACCTTTAAACATAGGCATACACCACACACACACACTCATATGTATATATATATATATATATATATATATATATATATATATATATAATAATTAGTTGATTAATTAATTCATTTATTATGTTTAGCAAATCGATCAACAAGGTGATTGAAGAAAGCAATGCAAACATTGCAGATGAAATAATGGCAGATGAAATATTAAACGATCACAAGGACGCTGTGAATTCTTTGAATTTGAATAAACAAAAATTTAATTATTTATTGAATAAGCGGGAAGAGTTTAATAAAAGTGCACAAAATCAACACAATGAAATTATCAAGTAAGTAAAATGTTATAATTGTTATTATATTGTATTTGTGTATATATATATATATATATATATATATATTATATATATATATATATATATATGAGCCGCTCAGTGCACACATCGACTAACTCCACTTTTTGAAAAAACTGAGATATTAGTGGAAAAGAACTTGGTATAATCATAACTTTTTATGATTATAATAATTTTCCAAAAGAATAAAAATTGCCACTGTGAAACGAAAATTTTTTTTGACCACTGAATCCATAAGTCATTTATTTCAGAAGACATTTTGATTAACTCCATTCTGTAGTGTATATGTTCTGGTTGGGTTGGATTTCGGGTTTCAAATTCGTGAATTACGAATAAGAACACAGAACTGTAGGGTGTTGTGGGTCTCGAAAAAAATTCATCTAGTTTTATAAAAGACATCGATGACGTTACAAACTTTGAAAAAATAACATACTAACATTCGCGTACCCGGCAAAACAAGAATATTAAAACTGCCTGAAGTTTATTGAAACTTGTTCAAAGTACGGAAATAAGAGCTAACTTAATTAAAAATAAATTTCTGGTCGGTGAAAATAGTTATTAATCCATTGACTTAAGATTTTGTCATTATTGAGTCACGTGCGAAAAAAAATCGAGACATAATTTACCAGATAGTTGATACAATATAATAAAAACATTTAAGAAAAAAGCGCCATTGTAGCTAAGCCGAATGCTTCACTAAAATTTTTTATCTATTTTTTATTTATTCAGAACAATAAATCAATAACAGAAAAGTAACCATGACAGGGTGTCCAGAAAATTGGCTTAAAATGCGCTGAATTTAGAATAGAAAGGTTCAAAACCAACGATATTTAAGTATTATATATATATATATATATATATATATATATATATATATATATATATTTAAGTGTGACTACAATGAAGATCCGAATTTTAAAAAAAAGTTTGTATCAGTTAGACCAAAATGTTCAAATAATATACATTAGTCTTTATTATATTCTAAAGAACAGACTTTGAGTACTTGGTCTCAATGCTAAACCATTAAAGTCTTATGGAAACTGGTTCAATTATAAAGATATTGATTTTGAAAATTTGCTTTTAGAAAATACTCGAGTTAACGTGTTCGTTTGTTTTCAATCATGTTTAATAAAATCACTCGAAATACTTTTAATCACTCATAAATTAATTTATTTTTTATTGATTAAGTCGATTATTTACACATATCGAAGTTCATGTAACTTGCCTCGAGGCAAAATACCAATACCAACTATTTATGAAAAAGCTTTAACACGAATATATAAAAATTAGCTTTATTACTTTAAGCTCCACAAGATTAACTCCACAAGTCATATCAAAACTTTAACTTTAATGATAATTATTTTCTCACTATTAATAGTTATAAATCTTATATACCGTTACATGTAAGCTATATATGTATTTATACGTTCTAAAATATATTTTTCAATTTATATTATTATGGGAATTTTTAAAAGCAATATACATTACTTTATCGCTTTTCTCCACTTTCTGACTTTTCGAGTTAGTCACTGTGTGCACTGAACGGCTCATATATATATATATATATATATATATATATATATATATTTTGTATGATTCTGAATTTGATGTTGACATATGTATTAACAAAGTCTAATAATCGGGCATAACATCAATAAAAAACATGAATTTCTTCAAAAATTTATTTTAAATCCATACGTTCGGGCTATAATCCTAGCCTTCATTCAGTGGAAACTACAAATAAAATAAAAACTAAAAACAATTGAATTGGAGTGAAAAGAAAAAAATAAAATAGTAATTAGTACTTACAATTAGTTGATTTAGTGTTAGATTGGAAAATTTAATAAACCATGGTATTATTAAATTACCATCCATACAATACCATGGATTATTAAATTTTCCAATCTAACACTAAGATCAACTAATTGTAAGTACTAATTACTATTTTATTTTTTTCTTTTCACTCCAATTCAATTGTTTTAGTTTTTAATTTTATTTTTAGTTTCCACTGAATGAAGGCTAGGATATAGCCGAAAACGTATGGATTTAAAATAAATTTTGAAGAAATTCATGTTTTTTATTGATGTTATGCCCCGATTATTAGATTGTTTGTTTATTATATATATATATATATATATATATTTAATGTGGAATATATGAATTTCAATACAACACCTTCTTTGCACTAATTTATTAAATAATAATTTTCACAAACGTTTCAAGAAATAAAATGGTGAGTTTCAATTCTCACACTATATTGGAAATTGAAGTCTTTTAAACAGCATTTTAGAAAAAAATAATATATAGTAATCGCGGTAAAGGTACAATATTATCTTGGATTTCTCCACCCAACATAATTGCTCCAATAATGTTGCGTATAACTTTCATAATTTCGTATCATATTTTTCATCATATTACGTATATTATTTTCATGTAAATTCTATCCTTTGCACTCTTATTTATTTAAATTTATGTTATTATTTATCAATATTGCTAGATGTTAATTATTTAATAGTTGAAATAATTATTGAAATTACAAAAAAAATTAACTGGTTCTTAATAATTACAGTATCTAAATTACATATTTCTTACAATTGATAATAATTTAATACACATTATTATTACTTTATTTCATATTTTAAGTGAATTTATTTGTCAAATCCTGCTCATATGTATATACTTGAATCTACGATGAACTAACTAAATATTTCATAATATCCAATACCAAACAAAAGAATTTTTGATACAATGAAACATCTAAATAATTTTTTGAATAAGTAAATTAATTTTTTGTATTGTGAAATAATTTAGTAAAGTTAGGCAAAATACGACATGCATAAGTTTAAAAAATTGATATATCAAACTGAATTATATAATTTCATCTGCCAACATATCTGTATCTTATATTATTTTCATTTCTGGCACATCTCAGCT